AATGTGGATCATTTTGATCCTTGTAGCCTGTGCAGCACTAGAATCCTCCCACCAGACAACGTCACCCTGTCTGGTGGCACGTCCTTGAGGACTGCCATTTGCACATGGCTAGAAGCTGGTGCGCTGCAAGAAGCAGCGCTGAGTCACCGAGGTCTGAGGCCAGTTCCAATCCTCTTTCCTCCTGTGTAAGTTGAACGCTGTTCAACCTAAGGCGTTCGCAGGTGACTCAGGATTTTCGTCCGACCGCAACTGACCCACTCAAGGCGGGTGGGATTCGCCCTTTGGAAAAGGGCTGCGCTGTTCGGCGCCTCGCGCGCCGTTGCTGTTTTCGTTTGCTGGTCGACTTCGAGCGCGACTACCACATTTGCATATATTAATAAAATATATACATATACAGTATATACACAGTTATATACACATATTCGATGCGAATGTCTGGGAAACCGTCTGGGGTGTGAAAAGTTGTGGTGCATCAGTTCTAGCAGCACTGCCCAAGGTCAATCAAACATAAACATAATCAAACATGCTGGCTGAATCATCTGAATCACCACCTCTGGAACAAGAATTGAAGTATACGGATGTTTACGGTATATGCATGGACCTTTTCATTCGATGGGACCATGCCTTTTTTGGGGAGAAGGCACGCACACTTGGACCTTTCCAGAAAGCTTGACGACCAGTCTCCAGTATCTTCGTAGCGTATTGTTGGCGGCCGCCGCACGTCTCCTACCTGGAATGCGACGACGTTGTGGTTTTCAGAATGACAGTGGCAGTTGAAGATCCAATTCGCAGCCGCTCTAACTATAGCCTCTCATGAATCAAATTTCATAGTGGATACGGCTCATGACGCCAATCCTCTTTGATCACAGTTTATCACCATAGACGTGGGCATCCAGGATCTAGGTGGTGTAGAGTATTGCAGATTTTCTTTTTCTCACTGCGACGGAACCCGCCACCCTGAGGGCCCGAGGGCCCGGCGTCAAAGTTTGCCAAACTGTCTTGCCGCTTCAAGACTGGGACGAACCTCGGTCTTCGATTGTGAGGGATCTCATCATTCGGTGACCTCATGAGGAGACATGAGGAGACCAGTACGTCAGTTGCTTGCAGCACGTGGCAATTCTCCCATCAGGCTTTGAACTACAGCAGCCCCAAAGGATGCACATTCTCGGCAAACACAGGCCATCTATCAACCTTGAATCAGTTCTATTCACCATTCTGAATATCTCGTGCCGCCAACTTTTGCTTCCCGACCTCCTGAGGCGCCCTGCGGCGCAATCATGGTGCGGCTGTCCAGGGCCGCCCAGTCAAAGCCAGAATAGAAGTCGTGCACCTGATAGGTGCGAAAAGCCAAGTGAAGCAGTCCTTTCCAGGAGAATGAGAATTGGCTGGTGGACGAGATGCGGAAGGTTTGAACTGCTTTGGCAGGAGCACGGTGATGTTTATTGACAGTTCCACAGTTTATCGACTTCACATGATGATTAGATTTATGGGTTAGTTGATGTTATACAGTTGACTATGCTGCTGATTTGGGGAATCCAGCACGACCCGGACTAAAGCCGACCCAAACCAAAGCACTCTAATTAAACAGGTGTAGGTATTGGGGTGTCACCAAAATCCTGTGTCGCAGGATTTCTCCTTCATTGTCTCTCAGCTGTAGTGTAAGCAAAGAACAAAAGGAGCACATTGACCTGTCGCTATGTCTGCTCTTCCAGCCTGACTAGCCACACTCTAATTGAGCAATGAGCCACCATTCGAAATCGGTGACGGGATGATTTCCACCAGCAAATCACTGCCATCTTATCTCGCTGTTGGCAACCTTTGGCATTCATGCTGGGGAGCACTCATCACCAGTGACATTCATATAGGTCATTACAAAATGGGCAAATCATGGCAAATCAACCTGATGTTCATAGATTTATGAACACCATTTCAGGTACAGCCTAGAATGTTGAAAATGCAGCATACATGACTATAAAAAATGCATCAGTAAAAAAATGAGAATCCACAATTCAAAAAAATGTAACACAAGTGGTATACACCACGCGCACAATATCATGGATAGCTTGCGAGCAGCGTGATCAGCACAGTCATTTTTTTGCAAGCGCCTATGGTAGGCTTCGCTGTATTTGGCAAAGGGCAACGGGCCCTTGGCTCAACAAGTAGCTAGCAGATAGCAGCCAACACCAGCCTGGCCTAGCACCAGCAGCACCAGGCACCAGCGCAGAAAACATCAAATAAACAGAATAAAACACACTCAAACATCAAATAACAGCACAAAAATAACAAACAAACTGATCCAATGAAATCATTTGGTGCCTGGCGCACTTGTCATTATGATACAGTCAGGTGCCTTCTGTACGGTGACTCGATTCCAAGAATGATTTGTTAACCAACAATAACAATGATGAAGTATTATGTAAGTACTAATGAAAGGGTAATTGGTAACCTGGTAATCAATAGTAAATAGTAGTTAGTAGTTTAGTAGTCAGTGAAGAGGTTGAACAATCGAATCAAACACAAATACATAATTCATCTGATTAGAGTTTACAGATTACCTGTTGGCGAGTCTGACTGGGTTCCAGCAGCCTCTGCAGATGCAAGAAAAGCAGATTCCAAGATTCCAAGAATGGATCTGCAAAGTTTAGAGAAGCAACTGCTCGGCCTTTTGCCTGACAGCCACAGGCACATCTTGTTCCTGCAAACCATCCTTGTGACCATGCATGTTGGCTACGCATTCACGAATCAGGCGCTTAGCATTTTCCTGGGAAGCCCCCGTTGCATCAGCACGCGCTGACTTCAAGGCCAGCACCATCACAGTGGTGGTGAACAGGGCGCGGGCTGATCGAAGCTTCAATGTCTGCTTGGCAATCTCCTGAGTGAAGGAAAGCAATTCCGTGGACACTGAATCCATGTAGCGCACCAATTTGGTCCCAACCAATAGCTCAGACAACGCAATGCCATCACTGACAGCCTCACCAAAGAAAAGGAACAAATGGCATATACAATTTAAGAACAAACAGCTCAAAAATCAAAGCCAAACAGACAGTGATTTGAGCAAAGGCAATGATATGAGCAATTGACAGCTAAGCCAAGCAGCGGAAGACATGTTGTTGATAGCATCCTGGAAGGGTTGCCCTTTTACTGGCATCTTGACAATGATATTTTTGGCCGCACTCAGAATCTGGTCCACAGATGAATCGGGATTGGTGAGAGCATCTTCCTTTGCCCAATCAGTGTTTGTCTCGAAGGGACCCAAGGCTCGTGACAAGGCAATGCCAACCTCCTTCAATCTTGAAGCGCAAACTGAAATGTGCTGCAGGATGAAGTCTTGGACAGTCTCTGATTGCAGCAATTCCTGAAATGGACCTGCTGTGTCCAAAGCAAACATGTCCATCAGGATTTGGTTCATTTTCGCATCTTCATCAGCAAAGGGATCAACAGACGTTGGCTCATCCGTAGCCGCCGTAGCTGTAGCTGCAGCCGCTGTGGCCGTAGCCGCGGCATCTGCTGTGGGGGCTGCCGCTGCGTCTGCTGTGACTTCATCGCCCCGATATACACAAAGGGCCAGAGCACTCAGGTCGAAGCCAAAGTCATCATCAGCAGTATTAGCAGCATCACTGACAGCAACTGGGTTTGGATGCTCTGAGGCTGTTGTTGGCGGTGTGTTTGCAGACTTTTCAGCCTGCTGTTGCTGTTGCTCCTGCTTTGGTACTGATGCTGCCACTGTTGGCTGCTCATCTGTTGTAGTACTGTTGTTTGGGTCCTGTGTTTGCAGCTCCTGTTGAGCAGAATTAGCTGCAGCTTCAGCTTCTGGTGAGGCTGTTAGCCCCCCCAAGTGTTGTGTTGGACAAAGCTTTGCATCAAGAGCTTCCAAATTCTCTTTGGCCTCCAGGAAACTGTTTCCAAAGCGGACAATGGAAGAAAGCACGAACCTGGTAGTAGTCTTGGCAGTGGCGAGATCTTTTTGAACTCGGGCACTCGCATCACGACCCGAACCAGTCATACCACTGATGTGGTGTGACAGTTGGACACCCTGCTTGATGATCTCCCAATGACAAGAAGCAACCTGGTATATGTCATCTCGATCGTGGAATGCAAGGTCAAGCACACTGCCCAGAAGTGCAATACGCCGCAATGCTTGGGTATGGTTCATTCCCTTCTGCTGCACCTGGAAAGGGAAATGTAACAGCAATGTAAATGTAACCCAGAAACAGTTAGTCAGTATCAGTAGGGCGGCCAGTTCAGTAGGGCTCAGTAAGGCCAGTAAGGCAGTAAGTAAAGCAGTAATTGTTAGCTGTTAGGTCTGATGATACTGGTAAAGGAATTTAAATGAGTATTGATTCTTTTTGGAAGCTCAGCTAAGGCTCAGCCATGGACAAGCTAGGCTCAGCTAAGGCTAGGACCTAGGACCTAGTATTAGTACTGTAACAGTTTAGTCTTAGTTAGTATTAGTAGTATTATATAGTAACTAATACTAATAGTAAGTCACAGTTTTCAGTCATAAGTCTTGTGTACAGTGTACAAGTGTACAGTGTACAGTGTACAGCTTAAGGTGCTTAGCGGCTTAGCAAGTATTAGAATTATTAGATTGAGTAGTACTTAGACTTAGTATTAGTATAGTCACAGTCACTAAGCTACAAAAGAAACTTGCAGCCCTGCCTCTTTCTTGAAAGCCCTGTGTGAAGTCAACACCAGTGAAGCAACGAAGATGGCATTCCATGTCTCAACCTTCAACTTCTTGCAACGCTCCATCACGTTCACAAGCTCTGACATATCACACACCCCATCTTTGTCACTCACCCTCGCAAAGTCAAGAAGTTCCGACAAAGCCATCTTGCTGGAGTGCTTCGTCATCCATTTCTGCAATTCCCCTGCCAGCTCATGCTCAGGGACCTTGCTCTTGAAGATGGTTAAACACTCCAACACGGCCTTGACATCTTTCGGTTTCAATGATTCAATAGCATCATCACCGACATTCATGAAGCTCTCTGCCCTCTCCCGGAGGAAAGTGATGAACAAAGATTCTGGGTTCATCATCTCATGCCGTCGCATGCCTTGCTCACATTGCCTGTATTCAGCACTGATCTCCATGAGACGCTCTGCAGAGAAAGGTAGCTGTCCAGGCTCTACTGTCTTCAAAGTAGCTTGCCCCAAACTTGCGACAATGCGATCCAAGATTGGACGAAGTCTGACGCTGCTGGTTGCAGTGCGCAAGATCTCATCAGTCACCTGTACCCACTGTCCATTGTTTGCAGTGATCTCCTGGCAAGAGAAGGGGTTGGATGAAACTCTTTAAACTTAGAACCATGGACATCCCAACATTCCCAACACAGTTCAGTTCAGTGTGTTGTTGATGTTGTAGTGTAGTTGTAGTTGTAGTTGTAGTTGTAGTTGTTGTTGGTGTTGGTGTTGGTGGTGTTGTTGTTGTTGTTGTTGTTTGGTTGTAGTTGTAGTTGTAGAATTGTAGAATTATTAGTAGTGTAGTGTAGTTGTAGTGAGAGTGTGTAGTGCAGCGTGGTTGTGGAGTGCTGAGCTATTGTATCTAGTTAGTTACTAGTTACTAGCTGCAATAGTTGCAAAAGTTAAATAGTTACAGTTATTAACAGTTACTAGTTACCAATAGAGTTACCAGGTACCAGTTACCAGTTGCTGCTATAGGTCTTAAGTTAAGAGTATATCAGATCGTTTCTCCTGTAGGATTGACTCTAGGAGCGCTGGCTTGGCAGTGGGCGAAGTGATGTTGAGGACATCCTGTGGTGTCGTAGGAGTCAAAGTACTTGAACCATCAAGAAGAACACGGCTCCGGTACAAATTGAGGCCCCATGCATAGTCCAAGCATCTGAAGAGTGCATCAATCCGTTCAACGCTTCGCTGAAGATGCACAAGGGCTGGCAAGTATTCATCTTTGCCATCCTGCACCTGTTTCTGCAAATAGCGCGTGGCTGGCTCAAGTTTAGGTACAATGCCGCCTCCAAGTGAGCATAGGTGGTCTCTGAAGGATTCTGGCTCTCTGAACATCTTCAAGAACCCATCTCCCCCAAAGGAATCAACAAGTCCTTCGGACAGCACCTGCCAGCAAGCAAATTGGAAATGACTGCCTCCCTTGTTTTCTTGAAGGACTCAGCTTGTTATCTATTGAGATAAGAAAACTAAGTAAACCTCATGCCATAGCCGTAGCCGTAGCCATTGTCATTGCCCCCGTAGCCATATCAGATAAAATTATCATGAAAACAATGTATAGTCACATAGTCATAGTCATTGTCATAGTCAATTCGTATAGTATAGTATAGTATGGTATGAATATATATATATATATAATATATATAGTAG